TATATAATGTACATAGACCTACCTAATTACTTTTATCAGTTATCAATACTCCATATCCCCTATGCTAGCTACTCTTTTATTGATGGTTGATTCCATTCAATGAATATATTGTGGTTATTACACTTTGATCTGCATCTTAGAAAGTTTCTGAACTATTCAGTATTATTTTTGCTACATTATAAATTCCATATTTAATTATTTCATTAAATAATTCTTAATGTTTGTAAGTTATGTTTCCCACCTGATCTCAAAGGAGAAAGGTACTGTAACTTAAATCTGTTTTAAACTATCATAATGGAAACATAATAGACATCAACAAATACAGGCATACCTCACTTTTGTGCTTCACTTTATGCACTTCACAGATACTAAATATTTTACAAATTGAAGGTAAGACCCTCCACCAGCAAAAAGATTACAACTTTCTGAAGGCTCAGATTATGCTTAGCATTTTCTAACAATAAACTGTTTTTTAACTAAGGTAGGTACATTTTTTAGACATCAGATATTGCACACTTAATAGGCTACAATATAATATAAACATAACTTTGATATGCCAGAGAAACCAAAAAATTCATGTGACTCACTTTATTGTGATATTTGCTTTATTGCGGTGGTGTGGAACCAAACCCACAATATCTCCAAGCTATACCTAGACATATTTGATTGCTTTGCAGGCAGGTTTAGGGTCAGAGTTTTTTGTTTGGTGTGTGGGTGTGTGGGTATGTATGCGCGCATGCACACTTTCATTTGGGTCCACCTTTTTACAAGTTACTATCTTATTTTATCAATTCAGGTGAGTGGCCACCATGTCCAGTCTTCGGCCATTTTTTGAAGGAAATGTAAAAGAAGCATAAGTTAGTTCCAGAGTTAACAACTAGGTTGGAAATATAAGTAACACACAAAATTATGAAATAAAAATGTAAGGCCAAGTTTTGTCATGGCCCCACATTATATTAGGTTGAGCCATATGAAACTGCTAATATTCAGCCATATTGACCTACAAAAAAAGACAATTTTATATGTGGGTCTTGTTAATCCTCACCCGAGGATGTTTTTATTGGTTTTTTAGAGAGAGGCAGGGAAAGAGAGAAACAAACATTGATTGGTTGCCTCCCATGTGCACCGTGATCTGAGATCAAACCTGCAGCCTAGGTATGTGCCCTGATCAGAATCAAACCCACAAACTTTTGGTGTACAGGATGATGCTCCAACCAATTGAGCCACCTGGCCAGGGGAAGACAATTTTATGAGTCAGCCTAATCTGTACTTGGGACTCTAAGAAGGAGAGAAAAATATGCTTTTTTATTTTTTTTAATATTTTTTTTTTATTAAATCTTTATTGTTCATATTATTACAGTTGTTCCTCTTTTTTCCCCCCATAGCTCCCCTCCACCCGGTTCCCACCCCACTGCCCTCATCCATAGGTGCACGATTTTTGTGCAGTCTCTTCCCCCATCCCCCACACCCCTTTCCCCCGCAAGAATAGTCAGTCCACTCCCTTTCTATGCCCTGATTCTATTATAATCACCAGTTTATTCTGTTCATCAGATTATTTATTCACTTGATTTTTAGATTCGCTTGTTGATAGATGTGTATTTGTTGTTCATAATTTGTATCTTTACCTTCTTCTTCTTCTCCCTCTTCTTAAAGGATACCTTTCAGCATTTCATATAATACTGGTTTGGTGGTGATGAACTCCTTTAGCTTTTCCTTATCTGTGAAGCTCTTTATCTGGCCTTCAATTCTGAATGATAGTTTTGCTAGATAAAGTAATCTTGGTTGTAGGTTCTTGGCATTCATCACTTTGAATATTTCTTGCCACTCCCTTCTGGCCTGCAAAGTTTCTGTTGAGAAATCAGCTGACAGTTGTATGGGTACTCCCTTGTAGGTAACTGACTGTCTTCTCTTGCTGCTTTTAAGATTCTCTCTTTGTCTTTTGCTCTTGGCATTTTAATTATGATGTGTCTTGGTGTGGTCCTCTTTGGATTCCTTTTGTTTGGGGTTCTCTGCACTTCCTGGACTTGTAAGTCTATTTCTTTCACCAGGTAGGGGAAGTTTTCTGTCATTATATCCTCAAATACGTTTTCAGTATGTTGCTCTCTCTCTTCTTCTGGCACCCCTATAATTTGGATGTTGCTACGCTTGAAGTTGTCTCAGTGGCTCCTTACACTATCTTCATATTTTTGGATTCTTTTTTCATCTTGCTCTTCCGGTTGGGTGTTTTTTTGCTTCTTCATATTTCAAATCTTTGACTTGATTCTTGCGATCCTCTAGTCTGCTGTTGGAACTCTGCATAATATCCTTTATTTCAGTCAGTGTATGCTTAATTTCTAGTTGGTCCTTTTTCATAACCTCGAGGGTCTCACTAGATTTCTTGAGGATCTCACTACGTTTATCGACGGTCTCACCAGACTTTTTGAGGGTCTTACTAAATTTATCGGTGGTTTCTAGAAAGTTCTTGAAAAACCTTAAAAGTGTGGTTTTGAACTCTATATCCAGTCGTTTGCTTTCCTCCATTTCTGTCATTTGTGACCTGTTTCTTTGTCTCTGCATTTTTATGCTTCCCTGGTAGAGTGGCTTTGTGTGCTAGGTATCCAGTGGCTCAGCCTCCCCAATTACCTGAGGTGGACACTCTTGGTGCACCCCTTTATGTGCTTTGTGCACAGTCTTGTTGTAGTTAAGCCTTGATTATTGTAGGTATCACTGGGAGGAATTGACCTCCAGGCCAATTGGCTGTGAGAATCAGCTGTGTCTATGGTGAGAGAACTGTGCTGAAGACACCCTTATGGGGCAAGACTTGCTTCAGTGGGGCTTTGGTGCTCACTGAGTCTGCCCCCTGAGTGTGTCCCTTATGGATCTGAGGAGTTGTAATTGGATGGTCCCACTCTGACCACTGGGTACACTGGCTCTTGGATCTCTAAGGAGGTGGTAATTTAGCCTCTGCCTGAGGCTACCCAGCAGGAGCTATGAAGAGATCTTCCTTGTTTGGGGTTTGGAGGTGCCCAAATGAGGTCCAGCTGTGAAGCAATGCAAGCTGCTGTGGGGCCTTGGGCCTTCTCTTGGAAGTTCTGGGTCTGTCTGGCCCAGCTGCAGTTTGTTAGGTAATTTTTAGATTGCAAAGGGCCAGGGCATTCATATGCAAAAGCCTCTGCCGCAGCTTGGGTGGGGTGGGGCCTCAGGGAATCAACAGGGCAGAGCAAGCAGCTATGGTTGATCCTCAGCCCTGCCCTAAGCGGCCCCGCATCTCAGTGTCCCGGTAATCACTGCAAGCACCTTTGAGAAAAAGCCGCCCTCGAGTTCCGAGTTCTGCCCGTTGCCAGACAGTCCAGTTTCTCCCTGTATGAGTCCGGTTCCCCAAAGACTCACACAGAACTGGAGTTCAGAGCAGTCGGGGGCTCGTGACTCCCTCCCAATTCAAAAAGACAGCCGCATCCTCAGTTGCCAACCCTTGCTGCGTGCACCTCTGCACTTCACTCCGCACCTCCTCTGAGTCTCAGTGTGCTTTTCTCTTTCCTTCTAGTTGTAGAATTTCCACTCAGCAGCCTTCCTGTGGTTCTGGATGATGTCCGTTTTGTCTTTTAGTTGTATTTTTGAATTTGTTGTGGGAGGCAGCAATTTCCGGTGTTTACCTATGCTGCCATCTTGGTTTTTTTTTAAATGAGCTTTTTTAATAGGTAGAGTAGGTATCACAAGAGAAGGCTTAGAGTCTGTAATTAGCATAGCATCTATAGAAGATTATGAGGAAGTATTTTAAGTTATGTGAATAACTTTGAACTTTAAGTTAAACTGAATATGAAGTGTGGTAGAATAGAAAAGGTTTGAGTATTTTGGGAATACATGCCAAGTTGGGGGTATTTTGAACTTTTTTCTCTCTCTTCAACTTCTATCCTTTATGCCACTGATCCTCAAACTTTATGTGCATCAAAACAACCTGGTGGGCTGCTAAAAAAACAGATGGTTCAGCCTCACTTCCAAAGTCTCTCATTCAGTATGTCTGGGTGGGGTTTAATAATTTAACATATTCCCAGGTGATAGTGATGCTTAGCCTCCAGCCTAGGAGCTGTACTTTTTTTTTTTTTTTAAGTTTTTTGTTGTTGTTATTACTTACTGATTTTAGAGAGAGACAGACATCAGTTTGCTTTGGGATCCATTCATGCATTCATTGATTAACTCTTGTATGTACCCTGATCAGGGATCAAACCCACAACCCCGGAGTATTGGGACAATGCTCCAGCCAACTGAGCTACCCGGCCAGGGCTGGGAACTGTACTTTTGAGAGCTGTTGTTTAAGGCTATAGGAGAGTTAATAGACATATTTAAGTATGAAAAGCACCATGAAATTGCTTTGATAATATGTAGGATTATGCAGAGTGGATTGGAAGGAGTTATGATAGCATGTTTACTTTATGAACCCATTATATAAATTAGATAATCCTATAAAATAAAACCATAATATGCAAATTGACCGAACGGCAGAATGACTGGTCACTATGACACGCACTGACCACCAGGGGGTAGACGCTCAACGCAGGAGCTGCCCCCAGGCCAGCCAAGGCAGGCGCAGCGGGAACAGCTGCTCAGAGGGCAGGTCCAGTGGGTCCACATCTGTTCGGCTGACCAGGATGAGGGTCACTCCCACAGCGGGCAGATCCCCACGGGCCACAACCCCACAAATCCTGTGCACTGGGCCTCTAGTTATAAATAATTACACAATTAAAGCCATCCCAAGTTATCCTACACAGTATTATCCACTATATTCACTTCTCTTAGCTGTCACCTGACCTAACCTATTTTATTTACTCTGTGCCCATGTTAAATAGTGAGGAGCCTCTCCATTTGCAGTTTAGTCTTCTGTTTTCCTGCCCTTTTATTCTCCTTTCCCAAGCGTTAAGAACCAGGTTATGAGGTTGTCCGAGCCATAGTTTTTTAAGAATTTTATTCACATTCATTATTGCTTCTATTTTGGCAGTTTCCTTTTTATATTCTTTTTATTTCAGGATGGGAAACAGAAGCCCAAGATTGTAATCCAGTTAAAAATATTCCTGGGTACACAACAGATGGAACCCAGACCATCAAATTGGAAGAACCTTATGACTATGGTGACAGATTAGAGAGGCAAACACCAGATACCTTCATGAAAATTCCCACTAATGAAAGGAATTTCTATTTGAAGTCAGTTTTTTCACAAGAAGATGATCCTACAGGAGAGTACCTTAGTAAATATGATATATATGGAAATCATTTTGAAAAACATTCAAACCTAATTATACAGTTTGATACCCATTCAGATAATAAGACATATACATATGACGAAAGCATGGCAACCTTCAATCATATCTCATATGGTATTGTACACAGGAAATTTTATCCTGGAGAAAAGCCTTATAAATGTAATGTGTGTGGGAAAAAGTTTAGGAAATACCCATCCTATGTGAAACACCAAAGCACCCATACCAAAGAGAAATCTTATGAATGTGAAGAATGTGGGAAAGAGTTTAGGCACCTCTCATCCCTTATTGCACATCAGAGAATGCATACTGGAGAAAAACCATATGAATGCCACCAGTGTGGTAAAGCCTTCAGCCAGCGAGCACACCTTACTATACATCAGAGAATTCATACTGGAGAGAAACCATATAAGTGTGATGACTGTGGGAAAGACTTTAGTCAGCGTGCACACCTTACTATACATCAAAGGACACATACTGGAGAGAAACCATATAAATGCTTGGAGTGCGGTAAAACCTTCAGCCACAGTTCATCACTGATTAATCATCAGAGAGTTCATACTGGAGAAAAACCTTATATATGCAACGAATGTGGGAAAACTTTCAGTCAGAGTACACACCTTCTTCAACATCAAAAAATACATACTGGAAAGAAACCGTATAAATGCAATGAGTGTTGGAAAGTATTTAGTCAGAGTACTTACCTTATTCGACATCAAAGAATTCATTCTGGAGAGAAGTGTTATAAATGTAATGAATGTGGAAAAGCCTTTGCTCATTCCTCAACTCTTATTCAACATCAAACTACTCACACTGGAGAGAAAGCCTATATATGTAAAATATGTGGGAAAGCCTTCAGCCAGAGTGCAAACCTTACTCAACATCACAGAACACATACTGGAGAGAAACCATATAAATGCACTGTGTGTGGGAAAGCATTCAGCCAGAGTGTACACCTTACTCAACACCATAGGATTCATAATGGAGAGAAACCCTTTAAATGCAACATATGTGGGAAAGCATATAGACAGGGTGCAAACCTTACTCAACATCAAAGAATTCATACTGGAGAGAAACCCTATAAATGTAATGTATGTGGGAAAGCTTTTATTTATTCCTCATCACTTAATCAACATCATAGAACTCATACTGGAGAAAGACCTTATAAATGTAATGAATGTGATAAAGATTTTAGCCAGAGAACATGCCTTATTCAACACCAGAGAATTCACACAGGAGAGAAGCCCTATGCATGCCGTATATGTGGTAAAACCTTCACTCAGAGTACAAACCTTATTCAGCATCAGCGTGTTCATACAGGTGCCAAACATCGTAATTAATGGATATGAAGACTTTAGGTGTTACAACTTAATTATTTAAATTTCACTTTGTACGCTCTCTCTGTGTTAACACATTCAAAAGCAGTGCAATATATGTTAGATACCACTGAGCAGAAGTATCAATTGGTAATGTGGATATAATCTATTTAAATTTAATGTGAAATTTGAGAATAAAACTTCACTTCTTTTTTAGTTAATTTTTTAGAGAGAGAAGGAGGGAGAGGGATAGAGATAGAAACATCAATGAGAGAGAAACTTCATCGATCAGCTGCCTCTTGCACGCCCCCTTACTGGGGATCCAGCCCAAAACCCAAGCATGTTCCCTCATCAGGAATCCAACAGTGACCTGGTTCATAGGTTGATGCTCAACCACTGAGCCATACCAGACAGGCATTCCTTTACTTCTTAACCTTTACTTGATTTATTCCAGAAAGAAACCCTGTGAAAGTAAGAGTATTCAAAAATCTGTAACTCACCAACTCTTACTGTATTTCAAGTACTTTTTAATGAGGCCTTGTGAATGTAAGTTGTGAAAGCTTCCATCAAGCAGAGATTTCACAGAAGAGAGTAGTCCTGGGATAATAGAAAGGCTGTTTTAGTAGGCTTTTAGTTCTTCCCAGCTTTGAAGCCTTAAATATGTAAAAGGTCCCTCTCCCCCTTTTTACTTCCCTTTTCCTATTATGCCATAACTGCCATGTTTGGGGGAGAAATTTGAAAGTATCGTAAAGATTTCTATGTGACCACTGTTTATACTTTCCTTAAATACTTAAATATTAAAGGAAGAGAACCTTAGTGAAAGATGATAGGGTAGAGAAACTAATGTGTATATAACCCTTAGACATGTACAAATTCAATTTCGTTAAACAGACAAAAATTAAAAACCCAAGCTTAAAATAATCTTTAAAACAGCCGTAGTTTCACTAAGTTTTGACATCTGTCATCCTGTAGAAAAAAAATAAAAATGCTGTTCCATTTTTTTTTTTTACCTGCCTCTTAGTTTTATAACTTAAGGGTACTCCGTGATGTTTTACTGTAGAAAGTCCATTTCTTTCCTTGAAATACATGTTTTTTGAGTGCCTACTGTGCTCAGGGCCCAAACTTCTTAAATTGGATCCTTTCAGGGCTTCCTGCAGTACTTTGCTGCAATTCACTGCTAAATGAAGCAACCAAAAGCTTTCTAAACTGATGAAAGATTAAAGTAAACATGAGCTTAACTAGTACTTCATAGGATGAGCATAAGAAAGCTAAAATGCGTTGCCAAAGTTGACCACATATCCTAAAGCAAGGAAGTAATAAAATGTAATGTGAGGAAAAACCAGTAATGGAAAATGGATATGAGTTCAGTGCTGAAAGGAAAAAAATCAAGATGGAAGACAACAGTGAGGAAAGTGAACATATAGGTAACTTAACACAAACTGTTACTTAACTTGGTTTACCTTAGGAAAAAACTGATTAATAAAAAACAAAATTCATCCTGTTGTTTGTAAGAAGAAAGTAAAAATGAAATTATTGACTTTAAAGGAATAATTAGAATTCATTTTCCTTCATATAGATAAGTATACTCTTCAAATTCAGGGGGAATGTTCATTGAAAAAAAAAAGCATTGATGCAGAAGCTATCATTGATGCAGTAATCATTAAACAATAATAACTGAGTCAGAGCCCTAAACAATATAAAAAAAAAGCTGGCAGAAATGCCAATAGCAATAGGTAAAAATATTATTGCATTTAATATCCACAGCATTCCACTGTCAGAATATAAGACCATATTGTGAAAGCTGAGATTTCATTTTGCTCTTGTTTCTTCAGTGCCTTGCATATAGCAGGTGGTCAGTATCTGTTAGTTGAATGAATAAGTAGATGAGTAATAAGGTAGACTTAACTGATGGAGTGAAATTGGTAGAATTTTTTGTGCATACATGAAAGACAACAAATACTGGTCATTGATTGGTTAATTAAGAACTACTTAAAAATGAAGAAACAGAATCCCAAGATATTAACGGGGATTGTTAATATGTCCTAAGAGAGTATGAGACATTTCCACAGGAAGTTTTTCTGAGCTAGATGAGGAAAAACATATAAATTCTGGCACCATAAATATCAATTTAAATGTGTGTTGACCCACGTGACTTCATTTGGACATGACTATATATACATCCTACAAACAAGTGCAGAAGGAAAGACATCTTCAAGGCTTTCTTGTTGAGTGTTTTCTTCAAGAAGTTGTTGCTTTTTCCTGCCTGTCATTCATTAACCTGATGTTATGGAATTGCCTTTCACAATTATAGATTATCTCCAGGTTGTATAATACTCAAATTATGCTTATGCCAGTGATTAGATTAAAAATAACCATTGTACTTCATATGCAATTTTATACTGCCACTTTATACCTTACACACCATTTTTATCCTGGAACGAACGTGTGGAGTATTATAGTCCATAGCATCTTTCTTTGCATTAATTTGTATTTCCTACTTTTATGTGTCTTGCATAAATAATGCATTTATAAAGGTCTTCCATTGATACACTGAAACAATTGATGCCCTTATAAAATAATAGAATAATAATAGTGGAGAATCCTAAATCTTTGTGAATTTTCCCCACTTTTACAATTGTCTGGCCTAAATATAATACCATTTTTTTATTTTCCACAACTTTTTGTTATGAAAATGTTCAAATATACTGAAAGTTAAAGAATAAATTACATCTGCCACTTAAATTTAAAAATTCACATTTTGCTATATTTTTCTGAACAATTTGAAAATAACTTTGAGGTGAAATTTGAAGATATGACATTTCACCTCTATGAATGCATCTCAAAAATAAGGACAGTCTTTTTCTTTTTACATAATCACAATAGTATTGCATATCTCAAGAAATGAATAGTAATTTCCTAATACCTAATGCTTAATCCATCTTTAAATTTTTCTTGTTCAGTCAAATTTCACACACTATATTTTATTGTAATGTTTGCTTCATCTATCTAAAACAGTCTCCCAACTTTGATTTTTTTCCAGGACTTTTTCTTAATGGAGCAGGTCAGTTGTAGAATCTCACATTCAGGATTTAACTGTTATTTACAACCAGATTGTTTATCAAATCAACAGATCTGTGGTTTGCTTATCTTGTTGCTGTAGTTTCTGTAAGTTAGCAATTAGGGCCAAGGCTTGATGTATTTAGACTAAACATTTTTAACATTAACACTTCACAGATGTATGTCATATGATATCAGAAGTCTTATTAATATCTGGTTGCCTCACTATCAGTGATGCAAAATTTGATCACTCAATTGTAATCACCTTATCTTCCCAATGTAAAGGTATCTTTTTCTGTTGCAGTTCATCTGTGGACTGAGACCCTGTCAGATTATGGATAGCCTGTGTAGCCACAAACTTTCACCTGGTGGTTTTGGTATCCAATAATGATGATTCTTGCCTGAATTAATTATTTCATCAAGATTTGCAAAATGGTGATTTTCTCTTATTTCTACATTTATTGACTGACATTCTGTAAGAGTGACCTTTCATCAGCTGGACTATACTTGAGGCAGGGTCATGCTCAATTCTTTTCCTTTAATTACAAATTGTCATATTAAGGAGTTGACAGTGATGACAAATGATTCAATGTATTATGATAAATTGTGATCATTTTTTCTGATGCTTAAATTATCCCAAATTTGGCCAATTTGAATCCTTCAGGTAGCTCTTATGTTGGTCCTTTGACATTCCCTCTCCCATCTTTGGGTACTTAATTGCCTTCTGACAGAAGATATCTCAGGTTCACCTTGCACTTTCAATGCCCCAGATATGACCATTTCTCCAGGAATTCCTGGCTCTTTTTAATAGACATCTGTTTAGAAATCAAGATCTGGGTGATAGGCATGCTCATTGCTACTGGGGTTTGACTTAGTTTTCATAAGTACAACTCTACTTGTCTAATACCTAATTATGTAATGAGATAATTAGGTATCTGGGACAAACTAGGAGCAAACAACTAAGCATTGTACAACTAAATTGTAGAGAATAGAAGTGTTATGTACTTCTATTCTTATCAAAGTACTAGAAAACAGAAAACTTGACTACAAGAGATCTGTGCAGAGGCCATTAGAAAAGTTTATAGAGGAAGGAGGGTTGTCATTTAATCTGGCAAGCAGGTTAAACAAAGAGCAATTAAGAGCAACTAAATATATGACACCTGTTGTGTTTTAACTGTTAACATATTTTGATAATTTACTGTTAAAAGCTAATTACACTTTTTTCCCATCATTCCTTAAGGCATGTTTCTGATCTAAATGTGAATTCTGAGGATATGTTTTATGCAAATCTACATACTAGGGTTTTTTGGCTAAACTTTTTACGTGGTCTTTAAAACTTTAAGGCTATTCAATTTTATTATTTGACTGTATCTTATGATACCAGTGCACTTGCATATGTGCCTACAAATGTACTTAGTCCTCTTTCTGATACTCTCATGGCTCTATCTTTCACTATAAGATAGAGCCCCTTAGACCACTAGAGCCATTAAAAATGCCAAGCATGTGCACTATAGTAATATGTATAAACTAGAGGCTCAGTGCACAAAATTTGTGCAGGGGGGTGGGGGGGTCCCTCAGCCCAGCCTGCACCCTCTCACAGTCCCCCTCGGGGCATGTCTGACTGCCCATTTAGGCCTGATTCCGGGTAGGATCAGGCCTAAACGGGCAGTTGGACATCCCTCTTGCAATCTGGGTCTGCTGGCTCCTAACTGCTGGCCTGCCTGCCTGCCTGATTCCCCCTAACCCCTCTGCCTGCCTGCCTGATCACCCCTAACCACTCACCTGCTTGCCTGATCACTCCTAACCCCTCTGCCTGATCACCCCTAATTGCTCACCTGCCTGCCTGATCATCCCTAACCGCTCGCCTGCCTTCCTGATCGCCCCTAACCACCTCTGCCTTGGCCCCTGCCGCCACAGCTTCATCCGGAATGAAATCCAGAAGGTCATTCAGCTGTCCAGTCTAATTATATTATGCTTTTATTATAGATATGTGTGTAAGCTTATAAGCAGCATTGAGTCCTCTGACCAGCAGGCCCTGAGCAACAGATGAATGAATTACTCCAACACATTTGCTGTGAAAGAGAGGGCTAAGGGAATACCTGGCTAAAGGAACAGGCAGCCTCAATTGCCTGCCTCGTTAGGCTTTTAGTGTAGCAGCAGTTTGAGATAAAGTTTATCTTTTAGAAACAAGTCAGTAGGGTAAGTAATGTTGGGAGGACATGTGTTTGTAGTGTCCTTTAAGCAAGGACTCTCAAAGATTAAGGATTCCAGTAAACACCAGTCTGCATGTGCACAGACTTGTTTGGAAAGGTCAAGGAATAATTAGGGCAGTGATGGCGAACCTTTTGAGCTCGGTGTGTCAGCATTTTGAAAAACCTTAACTCTGGTGCTGTGTCACATATAGAAATTTTTTGATATTTGCAACCATAGTAAAACAAAGATTTATATTTTTGATATTTATTTTATATATTTAAATGCCATTTAACAAAGAAAAATTTAAAAAAATGAGTTCGCGTGTCACCTCTGACACGTGTGTCATAGGTTCGCCATCACTGAATTAGGGGCACCACCTTCAGTACTCCCCTAAGTCAGGATTCCAATAAACAGAGTGGGTGGTCTTCTGCACACTTCCCTTTTCTTGGAATGTCCTCCTTACAAACTTCCAACAAAGTCTCGTGCTTCCCCATACTCTGTGTGGGTGAGGAAAGTGATTCTGAAGTGCCTGAGGACATATACATGTACATGTACATATACATATACATATACATATACATATACATATACATATACATATACATATCCCATAACAGAATAAGGGTTGGAACCCATTGCTCCAGCACTTAGTTGAGTTCTAACTGAAATGTTAAATGAAAATTCAGAGCACAAAAAGTATGCATCTGTAATTTATAAAATACATTTTTATGAAATTAGATCATTTAAA